TATTAATATAAATAGTTTTAAGGATAGGATTGAAACTTGAACTGAACTGTGGCGCACTATCTATATGTTGTATTCTATTATTTGCTATTAACTTTTCTTCTTGTCAGTTTTCTACTCAGTGCGTTATCAAATCTGGCCAAGMGATCATTTCAACCAACAGTAGAAAGGAAGGTAAGTGTGTGTTTTTATCTTTAGCCTGACTTGTATCCGGCCTTTTTCCCTTTCTTAATTAGTTTTGAGTGATGTCACAGATCTACTTCCACGTCCGCTCAAGTATACACACTCCAGCTCTCAGGGACTGAATTGATGATTCTAAGCTGTTTTTCCTTGATATCTGTTCTACATGCTCTAAACAGTCGTTATATTCATTATCTATTTTTTTATTTTTCTCTGGTCTAGATCTGCGATGCTGTTTCTAAAGCTATAAGTAAAAAGGGGAAAGTGTTACCGACTCTATATCCTGGTAAGAWAGTCCTGGACGTGCATATCCTTACAAAGGTGTACTGTACGAAGTCATCGCAGTCGTTATGAGGCTCGTTCTCAGGTCTCTACAGCAACCGTTAGAGGAGAGAGACCTGGAAACGAGCCTCATAACTGCTGCGAGAGCAGACTATACTGTACGTTGTGCGTAGGCGCGACAATTGTAACTCTCAATACTAGTGGGTTAGAAACACATAAGGGGATTTTTTGTGGGCTTAATTAATACATGTTTCATTCAGTGCCAAAGCTAGTAGTGCAGCGATAGTGGAAATATCCCCGTGACCTTCACTGCTTCCATGTACTGTTTGAATGACTCGGATGAGATGTATATTATATCCCTGAGGACTATTAAAAAGTGTATTGATACAGCTAGCTAAAACTTTTTTGTTTATTTATATCCACAGAAACCCATTTGTTAGCAGGTTTGCCGTGCAGTATGGTTAGTTATCCTATTACCAAGCAACCAATAGTAGAGCAAGATTACGTGGATTTCTTGATAACGGTAATATATATATATACAAAATACATCTGTATTCTTCACCTGAATTTTAAAAAAGGAAATAAAAACTTTACAAATGATTAATAAATCAATATAGTGGCTCAATACATCGAAATAGGAAAAAAGATATGAAAAAGCAAGTTTWATACGTGAATTATAACTTGCAAACATAAAGAATTTGTTTTCTTTAGGGAAAAGTGATTTCTACCTGTCGACCGTCAAATCAATCTTCGCGCGTTGGCAAAAAGATCWCGAGATTAGTACCAAATAAACATAAAATGCTGAGTATYTCATTTTCTGATGATTTCCTCAATTTGCTTTTACACAGACATTACGAGGTTTGTTTATTCATCTTTTATTCGTTCATTTCCTCACTCATTATTGGTGTATTCATATTACAATACAGAAGCTAGCTGATGTTTTTGGGCGAACCTGTTTTGTAAAATCCCGGATGAAATGAATTTATATCTAAATTTTCCTACTCATTTCCTAACTCTTATTCATTTTTTCATAAAAAGTTGATATCAGCCTCCATCCAAGCAGTGACCGTACCGACCGTGCAGACGACCTCCAATGGTTCAGTTTTGTCGTTCAAAGCAAAGACCAGGGCGTGGATCAAGTCTCAAGGGTCATCGAAAATGTCAATGCCGTTAGATAGAATTGATGTGAGTTGATTCTAGACCATCCTCGGCAACCAAGGGGACCATCCTCGGCCACCAAGGGGATGTTGTGTGGGGGCAAAGGGAAAGTGAAGTGAAGCAATAGTTTTAGCCCGCACCGATCTCCCTCAATAGGATCTTAATTGATTTACAAGGATGGATGGCTTGCTGCTGTCGCTGTGCTTTTTGCATTTGTTTTCCTTTAATATCGTACTTTTTACTCCAGAGTTTTGAAAGTAAAGTTGTGTTTCAAGAAAAACAAAAGAAGATATCTGCGAAGGTTATGAATTTGAGGTA